CCGTGCCGCTGTGCTGGGCCCATCTCCATGCAGGACCTGAGTAGCTCTGGTGCCTTCAGACTGAGTAAAAAGTCCTGAACGGGCGAGCCTCGTGTTTTGTCCTGTCTGTGGAGCACAGGACGGAGCTTCGTGGTGGCAGTGGGGTCTGGTGGCCCTGCTGCTGTGGGGACAGACAAGGCTCGGGGTGACAGGATACAGAGGAGGTCTCGGACAAGTGAGGGGTTCCATTTGCACCCAAGACAGGACTTGTCAGTTGCTTTGTATATTTGCTCTGTACAAAGGCATGTGTCTGCTGCAGTTATTTGGTGGGCATTGCAGCCCTTTGTAATTGGTGCCTGTCCAGATAGGTGTTGTGAACTTGGGTCCCTATCCCGTCCCTGCTACCACATGCTATTGGTAAATGAACAAGCCAAGAGTTTAGCTGCCTAGTGCCCTCTTATTTTGCTTGGGAAGAAGTGTTCTTGTCTGTGGACTTTACAACTGACTGTGCAGCTTCTTGTGCTCTGCTTTGTTTTTCAGGGTTGGTTGAAAACTTACGGCTATTTGCTTCCATCTGACAGCCAAATGCCTGCCTTGCAGTCGAGCAAAGCCATGCAGTCTGCAGTGGCCACTATGCAGCAGTTTTACGGGATCCCAGTAACAGGAGTTTTGGATCCAACGACTGTTGAGTAAGATTAATATAGGATGTTTTTGTATTTTCCCATGTAGATACCTTCTAAAATGACCTGAGTTCTTATTGCTGGTGGCAGAAACACTCAGGAATGTTTAGTGTCACTAACTCAGCCAGTCGCAAAAGTCTTAAAGAGTGTGAAAGGGTGTCCCTAAACAGAACACATTGGAAAAATCCAGGTTCATCTTTTTGTCAGGAGTACTGTTTGTAGATGTTAGGAGAAGCTCTTGTTAAAGGCAGTTCTTTGTATGTAGACTCCCCTTTCCAGTACACATGTGAAGCATGAATCAAGGGCTGTGTTTCTTACCATCTCTGCCTGCTCTTGGATGAAATCCTGGCTCCAGAAATGACTTCTCAGGAAGTCTCTCTTAAGGAATTGGGGTTGTGGCCTGCATACATGCTCTTTGCGAAGACCTAGAGTAGTAAGTGAACACCCTTTCTGCTGGTTAGTTGTAGAGATCCCTGGATGAGGTTAGCCAAAGCTACTATGGGTGTCAAATCCTTGCCATTTTTGGGGCCCTAGAAGCCATGTGTTGTTTAATGGCTGCATGTAACTTGTTGCTTGTAATGGGAGCAGCCCTGGATACCACCCTTGGTTCCTGGGAGACTGCTGCCTTCTGTCTGCTTGTTCAGCATGTGCTGGGCAGTGCAGTGTTGAGGTGGTGTTCGTTGCTGTTACCTGATCTGCTTCTTGTTTCATTGTTGGACATGTTGTGCCAGCTGAAGCTGTCTCCTGATGCTCTGGAGCAGCGATGAAAAACCCAAGCCAGAAGTGTATTTTGGGGGATTATCCTGGACTGGGGACACCTCTCCAATGAATGTAATATCCTCTCACTCGGCTCCCATAAGAAGCTGCTTGCCCTCCATTGAGGGATACGGAGGATGATACCTTTGCTTTTCAAAGGTGTGTGAAATGCTTCTAAAAGCTGGCATTGTCCAACTGAGACCTGTTCTGCCTTGATACCACAGCTTTGGAGCACTCTTTTGCTTAAGCACAGAGGCAGTGACAATAAGCCCCTGGCCTGTGTGAGAGGCCATGCTGCTTTGGGGACCTGCTTCAGTCGTGACCCCCAATACTGAAGCTCCTATCTGTTAAACAGGCAGTGCTGTCATAGCTTTGCATATCGTAGAATGGTGGATGTGCGCAGGGACCTTTGGAGATCATCTGGGCCAGCGCTTTTCTGGTTTTTTTTAAGCCCACAGGGCTAGGAAGTAAGTTTTGGGAAGGTTATCCCGATAAAAAGTGTTTAGGTAAAACAGTCTCAGCTTGACATTAGCACCAGGGATTGACAAACTGGATGTTTCCTTGCTGTATGCAGCTAATAAAGTTGGTTTTAGACAATGTGTGGTTGCATTGTGGAGCTCGCACTGACAGAATGTTTGGGTTCAAATGGGCAGAAGTGTAATGGGAGTTGAAGCAGGAATTGGGCAGAGATGTGTAGAGCATATTCCTTAGCAGCTATGAAAATCCTGAACCCCGGGGAACCTTAGGCTCAGTGTCAGTACTACAGCTTGCTTCTAGAATGGCCCTGTGCCCAGCCAGGCATACTTACATGGCCATGGAGCTTTGGCAGGAGCAGGGAATGTAATAACCCCTTAGGGAATTCGCAGTTGTTCCGTGTCCGTGCAGTTGAAATCTGTTTAGATATCTTGGAGCTAATCACTGGATGGGAATTGATTTTGTGCAAACAAGGCCCCTGTGAGGCAATATAGTACAACTGTTGGAAAAGTGCATGTAGTGTTTGTCCATATTTCAAATGTTGATATTGGCTTGGCAAATTGTTACTAGTGTTGATAGCACTGTCTTTTAAAATTCTGGCAATTTGTGTATGCATCCATGTTTGTATTGAACCATTTTCTTCTTACCTTTTTCCCACGTATAGAATAATATTAAAGATATTTACAGTTGGACTCAATGATCTTGAAGGTCTTTTCCAACCATAATGATTCTATGATGTGATAAAATATCTTTTACTAACATGGTGTGATTAGGAGGACAGAATTGTCTCATGCTTCCGTTGTCTACCTCAGAGTAGCTCCATCTAATCAATGTAATCAAATGTACCTGTTCTTCTGCAGGTGATGTCCCCAGAAATAGCAAAAAAAGTTTTACAGAATGCACTACTTTACATGTCTGCCAGTTTATTTCCCCTTCCTGAGTCTTAGTTCTATCTATTTTGAGCTATTTTCTCAGAAGAGTCTGATTTCTTCCACAGTTCCTTGAAGATCTACTTGCCAGAATTAAGTTGAAGTGTAGTGTTGTGGTTGGTTCAGTGGTTCCAAAGAGAAGGTAGAAAAGTGTCTGGAGTCTGAAGCTGAAAAGGTAGTGGAAAGCGATTCAAACTTCCACTGGTGGCTGGTTTCTGGTATCATTTTTCAGAGGTCGATACCTGAATTAGTGCTATTCAGTGTCCTCATTAACAGCATTGATGAGAGGATGGATTTAACCTTCAGCAAGTTCATAGATGATGCCAGATTGTTGGAGAAGTACTTTGTAAGTGCGTGGCAGGATGGCTATACAGAGAGTTCTTGTACAGGCTGGAAAAATGGGCTAATGGGGACCTTGTGAAGTTCGGTAAGGACAAATGCAAAGCCCTGAGAGAGAATAATCCCCATGCAGGAGGATTGGTGAGGGAGATCTAAAATAAGTATTGCAGAAGTTTTGGGCATCCTGATGGACAAGAAGATTAGTGTAAGTCAGCAGTATGCCCTTATGGAAAAGACAACCACATTTTTTCTGTAATTTGGGCAACTGAAGTGTAAAAGTAGTGTTTTAGAGAATACAAGACCATAATTGAAAAAGTAAATTAATATGATTGTAGAATCTTGTGGGGAGGTTTCTGCACTAAAATCTTTTCTTACAGAAAACTCCGGTGATCCATTTCAAATTGAGACATCCATTGGAAAGGTAGCGGAACAAGGAGGCAAAATCAAGAGCGGGGAAAAGGTAGCTGTGTGGAAAATATTGTCCACTGGTATTTTTATTGAACGGAATTGCTGAAGACATAATTCAAATTGCAGTTAGTGTAAGCTGGTCATGAAAACTCAGTACCATATGACCGGAATTTTTAAATTCAGGAAACACTCAGAAACTCAGGAAATATCCCGGAGACTATAGACTACATTAAAGTTAACATTTCTGTTAAGCAAAATTCTAAAAACAATGCTAAAGAACACAATTTGAATGAATACTACGTATCAGGGTTGAGTCAGTTTTGTAAAAGCTAGTCAGATACGTCAGTTTTCTTGGAAGGTGCCAGCCGGTGGATAGGCAAGAAAGATCTGGTAGCTATAAGCTGTTTAGATTGTCAAAACAGCAATGGCAGAATCCAAGTGCAGACATTAGGCAGATAAAATATTGGTTTGGGTAATAAGAAACAGAAGGTAGAATTGAAAGGGTCAGTGAAAGAGGTCATTAGTGCAATCCCCAAGGGTGTTTTTGATTGCATTTGTGCTGCTCAGTGTAAATAATCTGGAAAGGGGAAGAATAAGGACATGGCAGAGTTTTCTGAGGATTCCAAGTTCCTGAGGTCAGCAATAAATACTTCCAGGAAATTCTTGTACTCGGTACTTCACGTACAGATCTAGGGACTCTTGTCAGGTAAAATATGATCTGTATATGAACTCTCATTATTTCTGATCTTTAAGTAATGAAATCCTGGGAATGACTGACCACAAGATGCTTTAGAGAGACTAGCTGATCCGTCTGCATCTTAGATAACTGTATGCAATTTCTGAAAGACCCAGGTGTACACGGTCTCTTTTACATGCACTTTTGCTTCACTTCCTTGCAGAGATCGGGGGAGAAGGCATAGGAGAGAAACCTCTGATGCTACAGATGTAGAACTTTCTCCATAGTCCAGTTTGTTTCACCTCGCTGAAGCAAGTGTGGCTTGTTCTTGTTCTATTGCCTGCATTGTGCAATACCATTTCAGCCTCCTCTGGGCCAGGCTTGTATTAAAGCATGTAAAACATGTTCCTGTCTCCTGGTAAGGTATGCCTGGCTTGAGCACTCATGTGAGCTGCCGCTGAGGCTGTGGCCGGTAGGTCCTGGGAGCACACTATGAGACCATCAACAGCGGTTAGCTAGTCAGGGCCCTCCAGGCTCTCAGGAAAGTTTTAAGATGGTCCTGGAGAGTGCATCAAATACTTCATATGCTCCCTCGTGCTCTTTTAAGACCTCAGACTGTGTGATGTGCATACGCTGTTTTCAGGCTGTGGTTTTTTTCAGGGTATGGATAGCTTTTCTGGCTGTTTTTTCAGGCTTTGGATGGGGCCTGCATGAACATGCACAGACTTCCTGGCAATGGCAATGTCTTTGTCTTTTCTGCTGGCTCAGCTTTTTTAGACATGTGCATTGTATTCCTGAAGTCTGTGCAGGGAATGTCATCTCTCCCTAGTTTCAGTGCCTGAGACGAGGGAGAAGTCTGAACAACTTTGCCTCAGTCTGAACAACATTGGCAAGCATGCCCTCAATAAGTATCTAGCCCTCACGGTGAACTGAGGGAGTAGAGAGAGGCCAAGATACCCTTCTTGTCCTGACTCAACTGTTATTCTTTTCCCTGCTCATCCCTCACCCTGCCCAAATTAAAAGCTCTATCTATAACCTTTCTCTCTTCCTTTTTTTTTTTTTTTTTAATCTTTATATCTAGTTTATCATCTGGCTTCAGACTCCCACCAGGAAACACTAGAACCAAATCCTTAAAAGATTCTACATGATAAAATATTTCTTTGATATTCTCAGATTGCTGTGCTGTTGTTGCCAGGAACTGGGGGCACCTTACCGCTTTCCCCAAGAGAAATGATGTTGTTTTGAGAATATCCTGTGTTTTCAGCTACCTGACCTTCATGCTTAGCCACTGTTTGAGGTGTAAAGAGTGAGAAGCTTTTGCGGAAGGCAGAGGCCTTTTGTGAGAAAGAGATAGGCCCAGTGACTAGGTGGAACCACTCAAAAGTGATGGCCCCTGCAAAAGGAAGCAGAAATATTAACAGGGCATGAACATATAGAGCTCACCAAATGTGCAAAGCTATCACAGAGAGCTTCTGTAGCTAAAGATCAGGGAAGATCAGATGCAAGGAGGAAGGACTGGGTAAACACAACACGGTGCCCAGAAACCCATTGTACCCAAAAGCACCGTACCCAAAAACTTTTATTAAAAGTGGAAATATTTACAAAGATATGCCAGGGAAGGAGCACTGAAATAAAAGTAAGGACAATGTCTGCTTGTCTTGTTGGGTGTTGGGGAAGTGTCTTGGAAAGTAGACAATTCAGCAGAAATGGGGAACATGGCATAGCAAAGTGGTGGAGGAGATCAGTGGGATCCAGTCCCATGGCAACTTGGAGGTCTTTCTTCCTAGAGGTGAGAGATAGCACTCATCACTGCACCTTCTTTTCTATAAGGCTTTTGTGTATGAGGATATTCAAAGACATTTCTTTTGAATCTGGGAATATGATCCTGTTTTCTTGGAGCCAAGCAAAAGTGTTATTTTCTAGGACCATGCTTGCAAATAGCTGCCACATGGGCAGAATAAGGGCTACTTTTTCTAGTATCTGTGTGTTGGGGAAAAAAAAAAAAGAGAGAGATTTTTTGTGTGCTGAAATGTCTGGAATGCCAGCAGAAGGGGTATTTCCAGTCCTGTGCAAAGAGAATAAACCTCATCAAGGAAGGACTAAGTCCTTCTTGATTTCTGTATTGGTTGTCTCCAGGACATTTTGCAGTCATGCCCTTAGTTGTTTTGAATTTCTTTTCCAAAGTCTTAGTGAGCATTCTTTTTAATTTTCCAGGTGGATGAAGAAGCCTCGATGCGGAGTCCCAGATCATCCCCACTTAGGCCGTAACCGGAGGAATAAACGATATGCACTAACTGGACAAAAATGGAGGCAGAAGCATATAACCTACAGGTATATTCCCCTCCTTACACCCCTATTTTTATTTAGAAAAAGATATTCACTATTTTTTTTTTTGTAATGAAATGTGAAAAATTAAATTTTCTCTTGAATGTTTTCAAGAACTGAAATATAGTACAGTGGGAAATTTTTCAGAGCACTGAAATATCTGAGAAGCATATTCTCAGTTAGAAAGCAACTCTACGCTGGAAAAGAGGTTGCGAGGGATGTGAATTCTGTATCATCTAATCACTCTCAGAAATCAGTCCAGATATTTTAATAACCGATAGATCTCTTTTGATCCAGATTTTGGTGTGATTTAATACTTGCATCTTCTAGGCCTACTCATTTGTAGTCTAGAATCCTACCTGATAGCTTTATAATCTTTTTTTCTTTTTCTTCTGCAGCCATCAAGTTTAATCATTGATATTTTCCCCGCCACTGTGTGCACACATTGTTTTTAGACAACAGCTAGGTTCCCTCTCAGACTTCTCTTTTGTTAAGTGAAACAGGCCTGGCACTTTCAGCTTCTTGTTTAACGGATTCTTGATTCTCCTGTTTACCTTAACAGTACTTCTATGCATCTGCTCCAATATGAAGGAATCCTTGAACAGAGTAACCAAAATTATGCATGGCAGTACAGATGGGGTCGTCATGGTCTTTGTGTATAGCTATTAGTACTTCCCTGTCCCTGCAGGAAAAGACTTGGCCGTGTGGATGCAGCATGATATCAGTGCTGTGCACAAGTCCTGAGGTAGCTGAGGCAACTTGCTTAGCAGCTTGGCTTTATGGAAATCTTCCTGCTTCTTTGAAGCATTCGTGTTGCATATACCAGAGTGTGTTTCGTAACTGAATTGCAGTTGTACCTCCTTAGTTGCTTTGCAAGTTCGCCTTTCACTACCAGGAAGCCAGGTTGCCCTTGCTGACCTCCTGTAATGGTCTGACAGCAGTTGTTTCTGCAGAGACAGGTCCAGTTACCCAGTGGAGCCTATGCTGCACTATTGTCCTAGACAGCCATGGTACTCACCAGAGAAGAGGTATTATGCTTACTTCTGGGGACTAATTCAAAGCTTCTGCCAGTAATTGTTCTTTTAACTCTAACTATAAAGGGCCATCTAAGATGTGACATACAAGGAGTCAAACCTTACTTCAGGCCTTTTCTAGATTTTAGGAAAACACAGTGTATAATTAAAAAATAACTTACTGTGCATGCAGAACCTCAGTAAGCTGGTAAAATGGCTTTACTTCTGCCGTTTCCAAACTAAGAGTTGCTTAACTTCCTATTTTCAATGTTTGCAGTGCTGCAAGTGGTAGTATCTCAGTTTTGCCTTAAATGTATTACATGGTCTTTTATTTGTCACTTATTGTATTAAGTTCAGGCAACTACTATAAAGACTGAAAGTAGTTTCCATGACATAAATATTTTGTATTACCTAAGTTTAGTAGGTTTTGAGCATATTACATGCACACAGAATCCTCATGAACACTTTAGCTTAAAAAAGTAAAGGGGAATTTCAGTTAAACTTCAGTTAAACTATTTTGTTAATGAACTCATCTACTGCCACACAGTGGCACAAAACTGCCAGGTCCGTCACTCATCATGAGCCCTTAGGATGAATTTGCTCACATAAGTAAGGTTATACAATTTACTGATATGTTTGTTTCTCATAAAGAATTTCAGTTTGGGTTTTTTTTTTTTCATACTCTCTGATTTTCATTTTAGCATGATATTTTCAGACAAAATATGAAATTAGCATTTTCAAATTATTTTACTCTCTGCACCATAATTTGGAAGGTAATCAGACTTTTACAAAATGATGCAAGATCAGCCAGAATATTGGTAAGATTTTTGTTACTTTTAGTGGATCAGGGCTATTGTTTTGTGAGTACCATAGTTTGCAAAAACAAAAATTTGCATGCCCAAAGGATTTTTTTTTTAAAAGAAGATCCTCTAGAAATGGAAACTCTGTACAAACAGTTATGTGTTGGAATTGTAATAAGTCTTGAGTGGAATTATGTACCTTTAAACAATACTTCTTTCTTATTTTTGCAGTGTACACAACTATACCCCCAAGGTTGGAGAGACGGATACAAGGAGAGCTATTCGTCAGGCATTTGATGTTTGGCAGAGAGTAACACCACTCACCTTTGAAGAGGTCCCTTACCATGAAATTAAAAATGACAGGAAGGAGGCAGATATTATGATATTTTTTGCTTCTGGTTTCCATGGAGACAGTTCTCCGTTTGATGGAGAGGGTGGATTCCTAGCTCACGCTTACTTTCCTGGACCAGGAATAGGAGGAGATACTCACTTTGATTCAGATGAGCCATGGACCCTGGGAAATTCTAATCACGATGGTAAGAGTGCAAGTTTTTCAAAAGAAGAGTAAGTTGAATGTAGACACGCTGATAGGCTTTAAAATGGGAAGAGTTTGGTTAGTAGAGCCCTCTCCTCCTACCAGTGGTTCAAATGTTTTATGAAATACATATTCTATCTTATAATGCACAAATCATATTATTAGTAAGTTTGTGACCCTGCATGCCTCTCTAAACATTTGTGAATATTCAGGAGCAAACAGAAATGTGTGTTTACTGGTTGTTTCAATCTTCAGAGGTTTGGTCCACTGTTGCTGCAGAAAATGTGGTTCTAGAGGGAAAAAGATAAAGAAAGAAGAGTGTGTTGAAAAGTCATCTTCAGGTCTCATGAAATTCCTCAGGGGCACTGGAGTTAGGTGTAACTAGCAGTAGGAAGTTGAAAAGCTAAATATTTCTGAGTATTAGTAGTGGTTTCTCAGAAGACAGTAGAGTTTCCAGGTAATTTTAATCCATATTTATTTTTCCAGAACCTAAGCTTGGTCATAGTTCTTCAATCAAGAAACAGGGAGGAGCTGGGTGACTTGTTATGGAAGATTGGGGATTCAGAGAACTGTTTTTCTAATATTAAACCTGAAACAGGCTGTGTCTTGATGGATTTATCTTGCTATCTAATGGAAATTAGATGTTTTCCTGCTTTATTTTCCATTTCTTTTCTTGAGGATAATGATGACTTGTAGTTGGTAATAATTGAAGTTGGTAATAAGAAAAATTTTCAAGGGACTGATGAAAATATAATGTCAGCTTTTGATAGCAGAAGAGTATTGGGAAGAACATGGGTTCAAAAATATTTTCAAATATTGTATATGGACTAGAAATTTATTTTGAATATGAATATGATTTGATTTTAAATATGCTATATTTTGATAAAAACCTAGGAATATTGGTGTGGCCATGACATCTAATGACACAGTACACATGTAGCATCTTTTATTAGATCAACTACTGTGATTTGAAAAAGAGAAGAGCTTTCAAACACACAAGCCACCTTCACACTTGAAATAAAAGTGGCTGTTTCAAATCGGACACAAATTGAGATAGATATGTGCTTGAAAGACTGAGGGGCTATCAGCTAGATCATCTTGGAAAGAAAATGCAGCTGGTAAGTGTGAAGTAGAGAGAACCTTAATTTGGAGGAAAGCAGAAATAAGATACTTGCCAGAGAGACAGAGATTGTTTTCTGGCAGGTTTAAATTGTTAGCATAGACGTCAGCAGGGAAGGAGGTTACAGTCTGTGGGATGTGGATGGGGGATAGTGTGGAAACTGTGGGAGATGATGCTGGGCAAAATAGCACTACCTCCGTGTTGTCTACTGTCTTAAAAGGCTATGAATTTTTATTCCTATGTATGTGGTCAGGGTGGCGGTTTTTGGGTTTCCCTTGATGATCAGGGTTGAGAATGAGAGACTGAGTGATTGCCTTGAGAACTGTTCTCCTGGCCCTTGGATGTTTGTGTGCTTCATTTGTGCAAGTTCGTTCTGGTCTTAGTGGTTGTTTGGTTTCACCCAAAATGAGGGTGGCTGGTGTGCTGGATACGACACCCCAGGAAAGCATTGCAGGGGACCAGGGAATGCTGATGCCTGGGATAGAAGTTCCTTATGGGAAGGAGGATGGGAAGGTTTAGACAAATTTTGTGTGATATTTCACTCAAAAAATTACTTCTATTGTTTATCAAGAATCAGAATGTGATTATCATTCTAACGATTTATCAAGGTTGGGGGGTAGTTTGAAGAACATGAGGGATGGCTCTGGATGTTTTTTCTCTACCCAGTTAGGTCATTCTTATACAGGGTGTCAATTATTTGAGACGGGTTTTTTTTTTAGATTTTGGGCTAGGGTAGTGTTTGCCAGAAGTGTATAAGATGAGTGGAGGGTCTTTTCTTGTATGAAAGCCTTTCCTTACACAGGATCCTTGTGGCTCTTTCAAAAATGTCAGCTCTGGTTGGCTGGATGAGGATCATGAGTGGTGTCCTCAGATTACAAGCAATTGGTATTTGTAGGGCTGCAATTAACGGGTATTAATGGCACAGAAAATTTGAACAAACTGCCTCAAAGTTCATTTTGCCTTGCTGCAAGGGAATTGCAAAGGTGATTGCTGCTCAACAGAGCAGGGTGCTGACACACTGTAGACCCTCAAAACATTTGGCTGATGAATGCAGGGATCTGTTCAGTGCATGTAGTTTTGTTACAAATCATTATGATTTTAAGATTTGCTTTTTTAGTTTACCGTTGTTTTATTGTGTTGTAGCACCTGAAGGATTCAGCAAAATCATGTTGGGTGCAACTGTTGCCCCACAGAAGAGCGATACTGGACTCTTTGGTATTGGTGCATTATGTTTTAATCAAGGAAAAGGGAACTGTTTCTGATGGATTGAGAGTTTATGTGAAAAAAATGAAGAATGAATTGAGCAAGTCTTTCCATGCAAGCACCTCTCCCTGAATTGTACACCAAGAATTTAGTATACCCTGTTTGTGAAAGCTGCTATCTGAGAAGAGCACCTTGTGCAATCCGCTGAGGTTAATTAGCAGTTTCAGAACAGCAGCTGGTGAAGTAGTTCACTGGCATTTATATACTCATTAGCATTCTGTATGATCATGGTTATAATGATTTTTGCCTATTTTTGACAGCTAGACCAAATGAGTATGACCATTACCGTGTCCCTTAAAATTTACAGTAAATCGCCGTGGATATGATGCTGTTCTTGTCTGTCCCTGTGCATGGCAGGGATGCATGCACTGATCTGTCTGTTATCTTTTGTTGCAAGAATGATCCAGCATAGGCTTTCAAAGTAACAGTGTATTTTCTCCACACGGGATGTTATTGCCTTGTCCCCTTATGCACACGGTTCCATTAGTCGAGTAATAGTGTATTTCGATTAATGACTGTCCATCTATCATCTTAATTCTATCAGAGCTTAACTAGTGCCTTCCCTGACATTCCCATAAGCAAGCCAGGGAAGATTATTTTGGGATATGCAAAACTATTTAGGAAATTGGACTCGTGGAACAGTCCATACTTCATAATTAAACTGACAGGCTCTGTAATGCAGAGTTTTTAGGGGTCTTGCACAGGTGGCCAATGGCATCCTGGCTTGTATCAGGAACAGTGTAGTCAGCAGGACCAGGAAAGTGATTGTCCCCCTGTACTTGGTGCTGGTGAGGCCACACCTTGAACATTGTGTTAAGTTTTGGGCCCCTCACTACAAGAAAGACATTGAGGTGCTGCAGCATTTCCAGAGAAGGGCTACAAAGCTGGTGAAGGGGCACAGACCTTATGAGGAGCGGCTGAGGGAGCTGGGTTGTTCAGTCTGGAAAAGAGAAGACTCAGGGGAGACTTTCTCACTTTCTACAAGTACCCAAAAGGAGGCTGTAGTGAGGTGGGGGGTCGATCTCTCCTCCAAAATAACTACCCATAGGACAAGAGGAAATGACCTCAAGTTGTGCCAGGGGAAGTTCAGGTTAGACATTAGGAAGAATTTCCACACAGACAAAGTGGTGAAGCACTGGAATAGGCTGCCCCGGGAAGTGGTGGAGTCACCGTCCCTGACAGTGTTCAAGAAACGTGTAGATGAGGCACTTAGGGACAGGGAAAGTTCTCGTTAGACACTAGGAAGAATACATGGAAAGAGTAGTCAAGCATTGGAACAGGCTGTCCTGGCTAGTGTTGGAGTCACCATCCTTAGCAGTGTTCAAGAAATCTATAGATGAGATGCGTAGGAACGTGGTTTAGTAGTCATGGTGTTGAACCGTTTACGGTTGGACTCGATGATCTTGAAGGTCTTTTCCAGCTATAATGATTCTATGATTCTATGGTTTAGCAGGATGGTGTTGAAGGACTTACGGTTGGACTCAATGATCCTAACGGTCTTTTGCAACCATAATGATTCTATGGTGCTATGATTCTTAACGTAGTGCTGTCCAGTATTTTCTTTTTTATTACCTGGGATCATGGAATATAGAATTCCATGAATTGGAGAGAGGAAGTAGAATGCATGGAGCTCAACCTGGAGGTGGAGGATGAGTGAGTTGAGAGCTTGTGGGTAAGGGTTAAACGGCAGGTTAATGTGGGAGACACTGTGGTGGGTGTCTGCTACAGGCCACCTGACCAGGATGAGGAAGTTGATGAGGCCTTCTGTAGTCAGCTGGATGTTCCCTCATGGTCACAGAGCCTGGTTCTCATGGGGAACTTCAACTACCCTGACATCAACTGGAAGGACAACACAGCCAGGCACAAACAGTCCTGGAGGTTCCTGCAGTGGGTTGATGATAACTTTGACACAGTGTGTGGAGAAGCCAACGAGGAGAGGTAGGCTACTGGACCTCGTGCTAACAAATAAAGAGGGACTTGTAGGAGATGTGAAGGTGGGGGATAGCCTTGGCCGCAGTGACCATGAGTTGGTGCAGTTCAGGATCCAACGAGGAGGAGGCAGGGCTGTAAGTAGCCTTGCAATGATGGACTTCAGGAGGGCCAACTTCAGCCTCTTCAGAGACCTCCTTGGAAGAATGCCATGGGCTAGAGCTCTAGAAGGAAGGGGGCCCAAGAGAGCTGGTTAGTTTCCAAGCGGCGCTTCCTGAACGCCCAGCAACAGTGCATCCCTGTGTGTAAGAAGTCAGGCAGAGGGGGCAGGCGACCTGCGTGGATGAGCAAGGAGCTTGTGGCAATGCTCAAGCAGAAGGCCGTATACAAAATGTGCAAAAAAGGACAGGCCCCCTGGGAGAAATACAGGAACGTTGTCAGAGATGCGACAAGGAAAGCTAAGGCGCGTTTGGAGCGCAGTCTGGCAAGGGATGTTAAAAATAACAAGAAAAACTTCTTCAAATATATTAACAGCAAAAGGAGGATCAGGGAAAACATGGGCCCGCTGGTGAACGGGGTGGGTACCCTGGTTACGAATAACACAGAAAAAGCAGAGTTGCTCAATGCCTTCTTTGCTTCGATGTTTACCAAGGCCCTAGGGACAAGAGAAGAAGCCGGGGGAGAGGAAG